ACCATCATCAATTCTTATAATTGCAGTAGATGATGTTGATGATGATGCAATAATTTGTTTTTGTTTACGTGTTTGATGACGTTTTTCTAAGGAAATAGTTACTGATGGCGATAGATTACGTTTTGATGTACGTTGTGAAGATATTGTTGGTTGTTGAGTTAAATTTATTGATGATGAAGATGATTTTGTTGTTAATGAACGAGTTGATGTTGATGAATTACTTGACATTGATGATAATGAACGCACTAAAGTCAAAGAAATAATTAATTTTAAAATTACAGAAGAATTGAATAAGGTCATTTTGTTTTTATATCAATCAGTAAAAACTAACAACTTCTCTATTCTTGATAAACGACGAACTTTGTTTTTAATATGATAAGATAAGAAGAGAATGAGAGTAAAAAGAATTCGATAAAGAAGAAATGAAAAAATGACAATTTTACAATAAGACCTAAGACTACAAGAATCTCTTTTTGAGAAAATTTCGATGGTTAATCTAATAGATAAAATTTTTTACAGTAACGGGTGGATCGAAAGTTTTCGCACAAAATGTTTGTTCATTTTTGGCCTGCTTGAAAGTATTTCAGATGAGTCAAAAACTATGGGTTAAGACCAGAATTTTGTGCTCTTTCCGAATATGTGCTCATAAATTTTGTGTCTGTTTTTGCTTGAGAGTAATAAGGAAATCTTGGAAAGGCCTAAAAAATTAGTTTGGACGAAAAATTTTTCCGTACATTTTCGTATTTTCAGTATTGGGATCCGAAACCAAAAGTTGGAACTTTTGTTGATATATCAGCTTGTAGAGCAAAATCTGCTCTACAAAATGGACTATTTGAGTTTCTTTTTGTCTTCAGATAAGGCATCTAAATTTTCGTTTTCCTATCACCCTCATTTTTGAAGAATCGATTTTTTGACGAAAGGGCGTTTTACATCGAAAGTAGCTCCCGAGAAAATGCTAATAGCTTCATTTGGGTATAAGCTACGGCTTAGTTTGATATCACATTTTGTAAAGAAGTGTCCACTCTACAAAATTACCGACTCTGACAATTTTTAGCACCTTCGCAAAGAGACTTATGAGGATTAGCAAAAACCTGTTTGTTCGCCGTCCAAACCAATTTTTTAGGCCTTTCCAAGATTTCCTCATTACTCTCGAGCAAAAACAGACACAAAATTTATGAGCACATATTCGGAAAGAGCACAAAATTCTGGTCTTAACCCATAGTTTTTGACTCATCTGAAATACTTTCAAGCAGGCCAAAAATGAACAAACATTTTGTGCGAAAACTTTCGATCCACCCGTTAAATACAATAAACAGATGTAGTTATACGTTAAAAATCTTTCAAAGTTCTTCATATATTCAATATTATCAGTTTTAAGATTCCGCATATAACAAAAACTAATTACAATACAGAAAAACAAAGTTACTCTCGAATTCGAAAATTTAGAATCTCAAGAACTCTACTCGAAGTACACTATTACTTTCTTCTATTTCTTTGACCGATATCAAGATAAATAATATTATTTCATGATAATTATTGTTTTTTTGCTTACTATAATTATCTTTTGGTAATATTTTTCTCGGTGAACTTGATACCGGTGTAATAGCTAAAGTAAATGAAGATTGTTCAAGTGGAAAAGATTTTATTTCATTTGTCTAAAATTAAGAATAATTTATTTTAATAAATTTAAAATAAAAATATTTTATACTTTTGTTATTTGTTCAATTTGTTGTTTAATATTTAATTTATTATTTGAATTAATTCGATTTGTTTTTGAATTTATTATTGTTACATTTGAAAGTATTTTTTTCTTTACTGGTGATGATGATATTGAATTATTTGTATGTTTAATATTTTTACGTTTTTGACGTGTATTTAATAAATCATTTGATGAATTTAAATCATTTGTAGATAATAAATCATTTGAATAAATATTATTTGTTGATGATATTATTGATACAATTGAACCTTGACTAAATGCATTTCCTTTAGGTAATATTGGAATTGTAAATGAATAATTTTCTATAAGTTTACTATATGATGAAACATTTTCTAAACATAAATTAGCACATGTACGATTTATATGTTGACATTTAGAATAAATAAAACGATTTTGTTCAATTTTAATTGAACGTAATTTTTTAGATAATTGTTTATCAACAAGACCAAATTGTGATGCTTGTTTAGATAAAATAAATTTTATTGTTTCAATATCATCATCACTATTATTATTATTATTTACTGTTCGTAAATTAAATTCAACTTGTAAAATTAAATCTGAGAGAATTTTTTGACAATTTTTATATTCATATTGTTCATGTTTATTTAATAAATGATATTTTAATGTACGTGAACATGGAAATGATATTAAACATAAATGACATTGATATATTTTTGATGATAAATAACCTAATGGTAAACGTTGTTGTTCACAAGCATTTTTTGCAATTAATGGAAATTGTTCTGATGAAAAAGCTGATACAAGATATGATGATAAATAATTATAATTTGGTAATGGTAAATGTTTTGAATTAAGTTTTTTTTGTATAGATGAATGACGTCGTTGTTGATGAGTTTTAAGTGAACGATGTGAACGAAATGTTATTTGACAATGTGAACATAATACTGATTGATTTGGATGATACATATTAATATGATGATTAAAACCGTATTCACTAGCAAATAATTTTGAACATATATTACATTCGTGACATAATCCTTGATTATCGTCAATATCGTCTTCGTCTTCTTCAAGTAATTCAATTAAATTTGGTGTTGACTATAACAAAAAAAAAATATATTAAAAAAGAGAAGAAAAATAAAAGAAAGTACGCAAAAAAAGGAAAATAAAAGAAGTTTTGGCGCGAAAATAATTTATTTACTTGAAATAATCGACGACGATTATCAATTGATGATGATTTATTTTCGTTGAATGATGAGAATCGATTTAATGTTGTTGTTGTTAGACGTTTTCGTTTTAAACGTTCATTTTTATTAATAAATGAAGTTGATGTTGAACATAAAGTGAAACTCATGATGATAAAAATATTTATGACGATCGAGCATTTGAGAAAAAGAACAAAAACCAATAGATACAAAAAAAAGAAAGAAACAAGACGAAAGAAGATTTTCTTTAATATTTATATAGAACGTGAAAGTTCAAGGACAATCTTGAATCTCACTATATCGATTTTAACCAATGAACATAGTTTTGTTTGTTATTATTATTATTATTATTATTATTATAAATACAATCTGTAATATAAGAGAAATGAAATATTATTTGAATTAAAACTATGAAAATCAGTTGTTAAGAAAAAAAAAACACAAAACTTTTCGAAAACAACAATCATCTTGTTCACTGCAATCTTTTCTTTTTTTTTTTTTGCGTACGCTTTTTATTTTATTCTGTAGATTTAATTACGACATCTGTAGTCGACCTCGGTTGTTATTCTATAGTTTATATATTCGAAAGAAAACGACGAAAAAAGATAAAAATAAAAAAAAGACGAGAAAGCCTATCTTAAATATGGATATAGGAAAGGAAATATTAATCAATTCTAAACATTTGATTATTCACTTAAATAAAAAAAAAAAAAAACCCAAGAAACTTTTAAATTGAACTTAACAATAATATAAGTCTAATGAATCACATTCAAAAATTAAGATGGAAAGAAATAAAAAGATAAGTTAAGATAACTAAAAAATGAATCTATAAATGACACACAACATATTCAATATTCTAGAAATCATTCAAATACATATATACAAATACATTCATTCATCCAATGAATGATGATGATGTTGATGATGATGATGATTTGTATATGTATATATTCAACTGATTAGAATATTGAATATGATATATATAAGATTATTTTTCTAATGCAATACTAACACACAATAAAATTTTTAAGTTACAATAGTTAAAATGAATATATAAAGATATATATATATTAAATTAAATAAGTAAACTTCTGTCTATCTATTTCATCAATAATCACAGTTGTCGTAGACGCCATCTTGGTTTTTTTTGGATATACTGCCTCAATAATGATGCATCCTGTCTAACAGAGTAGGCAGGTACAATACAATGTTCTTCATATGTTAGGCAAATACTGCTTTTTATATTTGTAAAATAAATATTCGTTCTTGTGAAAAATTTAGACTTATAGAATATGAAGAAAACATATTATAATTTGAATTTAGTAAATAATGCTTATAGAAAAATTTTCCATATTTGCTTTTGAAATTATTTCAATCAGTAAACTCAAACCAACAAAAAAAAGAAGGTCAACTATTATTAATTGAACAAAAAAAATAGATTTTTGTTTCTTTTATTAATGTTTATTTTCATATGTAACAAAGGAATTTTTTGAATGGTTCGGAAAATTTTTTTTTTTTTTTGATTTTTTGGTAGATATGAATATTTAATAAACATTCTTTATTTCATTAATTATAATATCCTTGATATTTAATTCAAATGATTTCGTAGATTAGAATGCATATATCTCTACACAGATTGAACATGTAGATACAAATACAGAAGAATTTCATTATTTCATGTGTACGTGTTTTGAGTTGAATTATGATGTCGATAGATTTTTGAAATATTGAAAATATTTTCGTTTTCTTTCTTATTAGACAAAATTTATTCTTATGATTTAGACGATGTCCTAATAGAATCAAGATTACTTATGTGATTCTATTTAGTTGATATTGCACATAATTTTATTATTAAAAATCTCTGTATTGCAGTATTTTATTTGAATTTTCTTTTCCGAAATGGCGATTTCAAACTTCAAGAGAATGAACATTTATTTTTGGAAGCACAGACACATAAATACGCAGTACAATAACCCAAAAATTCTGCGAGAACCAATTCAATCTTCGAAAGGACGTGATCCGCATGCTAGATAAAAGAACTGGTTCATAGGAAATGTATCAATATATTTCCATATTAATGATATGATTTTTATGTATTATTGAGACTATCGACAATATTGTATTTTCTTTCTTTTCTTTTATTATAATTTTTTTTTAATGGCATATTAATAACAAAAAAAACAATGGTATACATCAAGATTCAACAAGAAATAGCGTTGTTTATTAATAATGTTTAAAATATATTTTGTAGAATCTCATGTAAAATACTCGTTCGTTGTTAATACTATATTAATTATTCCGAAGATGAATAAATAATTGATTGATTTTCTATTATTTTTTATTTTTCTAAGAATCCAAATAGATATTTTTTTTTTTTTCGTTTATTTCTTTCAACATTTTACATAAAATCATTATCTTCATCATATTCTTCATTTCCATCAACATTATTGATACCGTCACCAACAAATGAATCCATTTCGTTTCGTCGATCTGCTTTTAATTGTGGTTTAACTGGTTTTTTTACTTTAGTTTTTAATTTTCTTTCACGTTCATCATTTTGTTTATGTAATAATATACCTTGTAATGTTGATTGTATATGTTTAATATTATCAAGTCCCATTGATTTTGTTAATCCATTAAGTAAATCATCAAGAAATTCTATATAATATTCAGATTTTGATAAAAGTTCAAGACGATTATATAAACGAAAACTATAATCAAGAAATTCATCTTTTGTTATTAAATTAACATTATCTAATGAATGACGTTCACCACTTGTACCAATAAAATCTGTTGCCATTTTTAATTTAAGTTCTTCTTGTTGTAATTCAGCACGTTTTCTTAATTCATCAAGTTCTTCAGGTGTATATTGTCTATCGGGTTCTTTTAAAGATTCAAGAAATTCTTCATCACTTGTACGTCCATCACCAGTATATTTTTTTTTAGTTGCTTTATTTTTTGTTGTTGGTGGTGCTTTTACAGGTACTTTTGGTTTTTCTTCTACATCAGATTTTTTAGGCTGGAAAATGTAGAAAAAAAAAAAATTTATCAATCAAACAATGAAAAGAAGATTAACAAACTTTTTCTTCTAATTCATCTTCCCAAGCATCAGGAACAGCATCATTATCATTATCATCTCGTATTAGAGTATTTGTTATACTACTATCTTGCCATTGATCAGTCATTTTAGAGATTGATGAATAATAAATCTAGAATAAAAATTAAATATATATAAACATGTTTTATTATTTCGTAAGAACACAAACAAACTAGTTGTTTTATTTGAAATTTATTTGTAGAAACTCAAGATTGGTTGATAACTAATATTTATTAACTAGAATGATGGATTTGATGTCGCTGTATATCAGATAGAACCTACAATAGAAGAAAAAACTATAAATAGAAATGTTTGAATTTTCAAGTATTTCAAATTGTATCATAGAATAGTTTTTATATTTTGAACCTATCAATACATGTCGCTAGTTGACGATTGTCGATGAATTAATCAGACAAATACATATATATTAGATAGAAGATATTCTAGTTAATATCGTAGTTAAGTAATTATGCTTTTTTTTTAAAGATCAAGTAGAATAATGGAAAAACAAAATTTCTTGTATAATTTTTCTTTTTGATTTTAATTATTTATCTCTTAAAATATAAGAACTTTTTCAGAATTATTCTTAAGATCAATTAGATTATTCTGTAAAAGACATAGGATTTATATTTTGTGTAAAGAGTTGAATATCATGTTAAGTTATTTTATTTTCTTTAATATAAAGATTTCATTGTTCAATTCAAATATTCTATATTAACTATATAGTAAAAAAGTATACGATGTAAATATTATATGAATGAAAAATATCCATTATTTTTATACAAGTATAAACTTGAAAAAAAAAAAACAAAATCAATATTGTCTACCGATATTAACATGTGAATCAAATCATCTGTTGATAAGACTGCATACCTTGATCTATAGACCTTGTATATATTTAATTGGTCATAGATTTCTTTTTTTTTTAATCTGTAATTTGGAATAGGTAAGGAAATAACACAACATAAAAGCAAGTATCATCTTAAGTGACTATATTATTTAGATTACAAATATGAAATTTCTTGTCTGTCTACTTGTTACTATTGGTATTGTTTACGGCTCCTCTTTGCGAAAGTGAAAAACATAGAATATCAATCGAAATTATTGATGTATATTATATTTTTGAACAGCGTCCAAACAAAATTGCCTGTTTGTTGCTTGCACGATGGCTCTTAAGATCTGACCTGATGGTACGCCTGCTTCAGTTCCTGTTGGAGGTTGTTGTCCATCATAAAGTGCTTGTAGAAACTCTGCTATCATTCCAGTTCGACGTAATGAGATTAATTGAATTTGAATGTTTTGTTTTTTTAAAACTAAATTATATCGATTTTGTCTTGCAGCAACCGTTGATTGTACTTTTGCTGTATGTACAATGGATCTTAAGATCTGTCCAGATGGTACACCTGTGCCAATTCCTGTTGATGAATGTTGTCCAAGCTTGAAAGCTTGTGCTATAAATGGTGAGTTATCTTTTTCTTGTTGTTTTTTTAACAAAAAATATCATAAATTGAATACTATGATATGTTTTTATAATTATCAGCGCTCGAAGCAATCCGTTGGGTTCACTTGGTTCCATTCTATCCGGTAGCAATCTTTTACAATCATTGACTACAGCTACACATGGTATAAATTTAGGTACAGCTATATCAATTTTAAACTTGCTCAATAATGTTCATCAATTATCAAACGATGTATATTTATACATTTGAAATGAAATTAAAAAGAAAAGAAAATTAATATATTTCCGTAGATTCATCAAATTCCTCTTTTGATCAATCAAACACTTGTTAGTATTCTCAATGGAACAGGTCAAGCTAGTCAAATAATCATTGATCAATTGATTGGTGCTGTTAATAGTGTTAATCATCAAAGTAAAATTATTTGTATTATTTTGATTATTTAATTATCAAAATTTTTTTTTTTATTTATTTATTTCAAAAAATAAGAGCTGCTACTAGCCGAAATCTTTTGGATACTCTTGGTTATAATGGTAACTTACTATCAAGTATTACTCATATGTTATCACAAGGTACATCGATTACAACCGTTCTTTCAATTCTTAACTAATTGAATAATGTTCATCAATTGAGTAATGATATTCATCAAATTCCCACTTTACTCAATCAAACTTTAACAAGTATTGTTGGTGGAGCTGGACAAGCTAGTCAAATTGTTGTTCGACAAGTACTTGGTCTTCTCGGACAACAGAGTATGTTTTACACATAGATCTTTGGGACAATATTGATCAAATTGTTCATTTTGTTTTTCTAGCCGCTACAAGTCGAAACCTTTTAGATGTTCTTGGTCAAAATGGTAACTTACTATCAAGTATCAGTCATTTATTACCATAAGGTACATCGATTTCAACTGTTCTTTCAATTCTTAAATTATTGAATAATGTTCATTAATTGAGTAATGATATTCATCAAATTCCTGTTTTACTCAATCAAACTTTAAGTAGTATTGTTGGTGGAGCTGGAGAAGCTAGTAAAATTGTTGTCCAACAATTACTTAATCTTGCTGGAATTCAATCTCAAAGTATTTCTATATTTTTTTTTTATAATAATAAATTTTATTTCTATATTGATTATATTTAGGTATAAGCCGTAATCTTTTGAATACTCTTGGTGAAAATACTAATTTAATTTCAACAATATCACATCTTTTACCACAAGGTACATCAATTTCAACTATTGTTTCATTATTAAATTTGTTGAACAATGTTAATGCTATAAATAATGATCTTCATCAAATTCCTACTGTTCTTCAAGAAACATTACAACATCTTCTCACTGGTATTCAAAATCTTGTACCACCACTAGTTCAACTAGTACAAGGATCATCATAAAAGAAATACATATATGTTTTTTTTTTTATTTTGATATTTATTCCGAAATAAATTTCATTGAAGAACCTTTTTTTTCTAATCACTTTAAAGTGGAATAAATATCTACAATTCGAAAATTTTGAATAGATGTCGCAAGATAACGAATGAATATAATTTCATATTGAATTTTAATTATTATATATATTTTTTTAATATAAAAATATAATATTTATAAATAAATTTCATCTTTTTTTTTCTTTTTTTTTTTGAATTAAATAATTAATTATTATAGGTTTTTATTTGATCAATGAAAAATAATCTATCCGATTATCTATAATTGTCGTTGGTTTCATGTTCATCCATACTCATTTTATAACCTTGAGTAGTAGAGAACAGAACATCTTTTTTCGTAATGATTTCATATTTGTATTATAATAAAACTTAGTTTTCTAGATGCCTTCTGACGTTTTCATTGATGGCGTTCGTTGTCTCGAACGTATTCGAAAACTCTATACATTATGGCAAGTAAGCAAACTTATACATCTCATACAATCAACATTTAGAATTTATATATTTATTCTTATTGTTATTGTTCTAGAATACAAATCATGAAGATGGAACTGATGTATTAACTCATGATAATGATGCATTACATTCTGCTGATGCAATTATTATTGTAAGAGGACAAAAAGAAGATGATTTTACTTATAGTAAAACTGCTGCTATGCAGGTTAGTATATTTTGTTAATTTTCTATTGGTTATTATTCTTCATTTTTATTTTAGACTTGGTTATTTGGCTATGAAATGCATGATGTTCTTGTTGTATTTTGTCAAGATTCAGTAATTATATTTGCTGGTGCAAAAAAAATCAACTATCTTAAACAAGTAAATTTTGATTTCAATTTAAAATGATTAGAAAAATATTGGTCACTTTTTTTTCTAGATTGAAAGTGAACAAAATAATAAAGAAAATGCACCAAGAAATTTTAATTTTTTAATACGTAAAGATAATGATGAAAAAAATTTTTCTGATATTATTGAACAAATTAAACAAAGTCATCAAGGTAAAACATTAGGAATATTTTCAAAAGATAAAATGGATGGAACATTTGGTGAACAATGGAAAAATTGTTTAAGTCAACATTCATTTACAACTGTAAGAAGTTTGTTTTTTTACAAAGAAATATATTTTGTTTTTTTTTTTTTTATATTAATTCTAGGTTGATATAAGTGCTTCAGTTGGTTATTTACTTTCAATGAAAGATAATGAAGAACTTGGTTTAATTCGTAAAGCATGTGAAATAACTGGAAAACTTTATAGTAAGCATTTAAAAGATCAAATTGTTAATACAGTTGATTCGGAACGAGTATGAACAAGATTTTATTTGAATTTTTTTTTCTTATTCATTTTGTTTTTTTTGTTGTTGATAGAAAGTAAAACATTCAAAATTATCTGAAGGACTTGAAGCAGCATTAAGTGATGAAAAATTTGTTGCAAAAGCTGATCTTAATCATGTAGAAATGTGTTATCCAGCTATTGTACAAAGTGGTGGAAATTATAATTTAAAATTTAGTGCTACGGTGTAAGTAAAAAGTTTTTCAATTCTTAAAACTAAATTATCCGAACGATTTTTCTTCTGTTAATGAATAGAGTCTGTTTTTATTCTTTTTAGTGATAACAATCTTCTTCATTATGGTGGTTCATCAATAGTTTGTGCATTTGGAATTCGATATAAATCATATTGTTCAAATCTTGTTCGTACATTACTTGTTAATCCATCTGAAGAAATGAAAAATACATATAAATTTTTAATTGAATGTGAAGGACTTATTATAAATGAATTAAAACATGGTAAAATAATATCAATTTTTTTTTGTTTTTCAATAAATTAATTTCATTTTCTAAGGTGTACAATTATGTGATGTATACAAATTAGTACGAGAAAAAGTTGAAAATGAACGACCAGAACTTGTAAATAAAATGACAAATAATTTAGGGTTTGTTTTTACTAAAACAAAAAAAAAGAAAATTATATTTTAAATTTAATTTTTATAGAACAGCATTAGGTATTGAATTTCGAGAAAGTTCTATTGCTATAACAAGCAAATGTACAATACAAGCAAAAAAAGGTAAATTAAAAATTAATATAAAATTAAATTCTTTTTTTTTTCTTTTGTTTTATAGGTATGACTTTTCAAGTGAGTATTGGCTTTTCTGGTTTGGATAATTCTGATGGTAAAGATGATCAATCGAAAATTTATGCTTTATTTATTGGCGATACTGTACTTGTTAATGAAGTAATAAATAAAAAAATAAAATTTCATAATTAAAAAAAAAAATTGTTTTTATTTTAGAATGAATCTTGCACATTATATACATCATCGAAAAAAGATCTAAGTCATATAGCAATTATTTTAAAAGATGAAGGTTCAGAAGAAGATGAAGATGATGAAACACCAAAAATAGTACCAAGACGAGCAGCTACTAAAGAAAAACCTCGAGTAAATATTATCATATTATTTTCATTTCTTCTCTTGTTTTTTTATTGTAATTATTTATAATATTTAGAATGATTCAACTGTACCTGAAGAATCTCGTCAAGAATTTCAAAAAACATTATTACGTAAATTAAATGAACGAGCTGAAGCTCGATTAACATCACAAGATGATAAAGTATCATCGGAAAGGTAATATTCATTGAAAAATAAAAATAATAATATTCTTCAATTATTTCAATGAAATTTAATTTAGAACTCGAAAAATTCTTAATTCATATAAATCCGAAGGACAATTACCAAAAGATCCAGATATTCATGAGTTAAAACTTTATGTTGGTAAGTGCATTAAAAAAGAATTCATTTTAAAGATTAAAACAAATATATATATAGATAAACAATATGAAACAGTTATTTTACCAATTAACGGAATGCCTACACCATTTCATATTTCAACAATCAAAGTAAGAAAAGATTTAAATTTAATCAGTTAAGAAAAACTACATTTCTATATACCAAACGGTGTTCTCGATTAGACATGTTCAAGTGCTAACTTTAAACATTGTGAAATACTATTTGCCTTTGTCTAGCAGATAGTAAAATAAAAATAAACAGACAATGTTGTTGCGAAGTGAATAGAATCGGAGGGAAGGATAGTCTGATGATAGATCATCTGATATATGGAGGGATAGGATCAAAGGGAGTTTAATTTTATTATTTATAATTTAGAATGTATCATTAGCTGTCGAAGGTGAATATATATATTTACGTATAAATTTTTTTAATCCTGGTGGTATTGGTAAACAAGCTGATTCTATCGACAAAGAAAATGTTTATATCAAAGAATTGTAAGTAAAAAAAAAAAAAAATCTATATAAATCAATTAAATCTATTGTTCTATAAAATTTATTTTTAGAACATATCGCGCATCGAATGATAAAAAAGATGATATTGCACCAGCATCAAATAATCTATCTCATGTACATAAATTAATTCTTGAAACACAAAAAAAATTTAAAGATCAAGAACAAGAAAGAAAACAAATGGAGGTTTGTTGACATATTTTTTTGTTTTTAATTCTTTTTTATTTTTGTTCATCTTATTAAAGGGTGTTGTTAAACAAGCAGCATTAATTCTTAATCCAAGTAAAACAAATCCAAAA